TATATATATATATATATATCTGAAATATAAAATATAAAATACTCATGCTCTGCTGAAATACAAAATATAATTACTGTTACAAATACTGTTATAAATACTGATTTCCAAATAAAAAAAGTATTTCAAATACATGCTCAACTCTGTCTATTATATTCTATCAATTAATATACTAGCTGTATACTAACATTGCAATATCTGGACCACACACGTGTCGTACAATAGACACACATACTCCTAGCGTATGTCTCATGAGTTCTATGTCTTTTGCAGCAATATACATGAAGGTATAGCCGATATACTCGTCAAATACCATGTTAGTTCCATCCTGGAACTTCATGGAAGTATAGGAATTTCCGAACTGCGAAGCCATCACATGTTGTGAAGTGACTATGGGTGAAAACAACTGCATTATGATGTTGGGACTTGGTATAGAATCTTCCAAGTCTGTGATATCCTACAAGAAGTACTTGTTGTAGAAGTATTCTTTAATAAATTAACACTAATCCATTGTAAACGAATATTTTGTTGCTACCTTAGAATAATTTTTTCATACACAGTCTTTTCATTCCTTCTTTTTTAAATATTCGGAGAATAACTACACAACTCTAAGAGGTTGTGAACCTCACAAAATTAATCATTACGTCATTGTTATCAAATCTGAAGGTTATCAATTACCTTATCATCATCGAGCAGTCCCTGCATCCTCGCCAACTTCAAAATATGGCTTGCAAATTTTTTATTGCATTTTACAAATAAAACATCATTCAGATGGTCGAATATCAATATAGCTCTCATCTTGCTTTGTGATTTTTATGTGTAACTGTCACATGTATCTCTAGCACATAAACAGAATTCCGTTTTCGTTGGATTGTATTCCTATTGAGCATGCAAACACGCTGCTTATTGCTTATTATTGGTCGCGTTCAGCAGACTCAACTGTTGCGGAGCGGATCAATGAGCTCTCGCTGCTATTGGATGATCTAAAAGAATACACCAATAGCAGTGAGCGCTCACGGATCCGCTCCACAACAGTTGAGTCTGCTGAACGCGACCATTGTTTATCTCACTGGCTTTAAAACGTTTAGGTCATTTTGACGTTGACAATTGGCTACGTTTACACCGTGCATTTAGGCCGCGGCCTAAATACAATAGATGTCCTTGTTTATCTTGTAGGCTAAACAAAGACACCTATCGTATAGGTCGCGGACTAAACGCACGGTGTAAACGCAGCCATTATCGACATCACTGTTATTGACATCGTGAAATTTACCGATCATCGGTACTTCACAAATCGCAAAAAGATCAAAGTCTCAAAAATAATTAAATATAAAAAACAAAGGGATAACTAAATACACAATTGAAATTCCAAGAATGAATTCTTAGAACTTTAAGATTAAAAAATCATGAATCATGAAAATTTACTTTTAAAAATCAATAAAACACAGAGAATATAATAAAAAGATTTGATTAAAATTTTATGAATTATGAAATAAAAAATTCTTAATATTGCAATTCTTCGGGTTCAAATTGCGATAAAAATTTAAAAATTATATTACATGTGTGCATGATAATGCAAAACTACATAATTTATGTAAAAGCAAAGGATCAACTTGGACAATTAATTTATAGACCCTGGGTTTAATTCCAATCCTTTAATTGGAAACTTATGAATAAAAGAAAACACGGTGACTCGTTTCATCTATTTCATATATTTAAATTATTCATTATTCATTTATGCCATGTTTACATACAAAAGTTACTCCGTTTAGTCTACTGTTATGAAATAAGTTTTTCATTGCATCTACATTATTATCTTAGGTAAAACATATTTTCAATCATTTCGGTATCTTAAATATAAAAAGAAATTAAAAAAAAAAATTAAAAATACAATTAAAATTTTTTAGGTAAAACACGTGATTGTTAACTAATATATCGAATATTCATCGTGTTAAAGGTATTATTAAAGTTAAAAGCGTTTTTGGGCATTGTATTCATCGATTATTGTGGATTCCAATTCCTCTGCCATTGACAAATCCTGTAAAATCCATTTGTATTGTATCAATTTGCGTATATGTATATTAATTATGTGATGCAAGCTTACTAAGACAAGGTTGCTGCCATCGATATATATTCATCGGTGGAAATGGTGTAGGGAGTACTGATCCTGGAAAAACAGTCATAAGCATGGGTGGTGCCTGTACTCGAGGCATCGGCATCAGCATAGGTCTAGGTAAACGCTAAAACAAACATCGGTTTGTATAATAGATATAGTTACTTAAATATATGATAAATTGTTCAATACACTATTTCAGGTAACTGCAGTTCAATCCTACATATTTAATATCCTTTTCGACATTGATTGAAACAAAAGTATTATTAATTTTCTTTTCTGAACATTAAAATTAGTTGAACTTACTACGTAAGAGCTATAGAAGCTATCCAAGGAAGAGTGTGACTTTGAAAATGCACAGTTATCTAAACTGCATGATTGATCAGAATAATTTCTAGATAAAAATTTACTTATTTCGTTATTGTCTTTCTTCCTTTCTCTACCTCGTTCACTGGTCGGTGAACGACTTCTATTTCTGAAAGAGAAAAATGTTTATATATATATATATATATATATTCTCGTTATACAATAAAAGTTTTACATATTTTATTTAAATTATAAGATTATAACTTCATTAAAATAACTTCAGTATAAATACAGAAAAATTTGCATTCTCTCTATAACAAAATATACAAATTGACCATGCACGCGTAACTCTTTAAACATACATTTATTGAAATTTTTTCTGAGTTTAACATTTTCTTTTATTTTTAAACTGCTTGTATCTATTTATACTTTCGTTTTCTCATTTCTTTATATTCTTACCCTGGTGGAAAAATTTCGCTGAAATTATTCCATTTTGGAACACTTTTCGGCAAAATTTCAGCATTTCAGAAAAATTTCAGTTTAATTTCAGTGAAATTTTGGCAAAAATTTTAGAGAAATTTCAGCTAAATTTCAAAGAAATTTTTCAGCGATTTTTCAGTATGTTAGCCGAAAAATTCGCTTTCAGTGAAATTTTCAGCAATTTCGCTGAAATATTCCAAAACGTGGAATAATTTTAACGAAATTTTTTCACCAGGGTAATATAATTAAGTTTTATTCTGTACCTGTAACGAGATCTCGAACGATCCCTAGTAAAAGATGCACTATGACTACTATAACGTATTGAATTTCTATTTCTTCTTTTATTTCTATCTCTATCTTCCTCTTCACTTTCTCTCGTTGAACTATATCGCCTTCTGAAACGTAAGAAACTCTAATTCTTTATTTATATGTATAATACAAATATATCATTTATGAAATAAAAAGACTTATAAAAATTGTTGAAATTCTTATAATCTTTCAGTTATGATAATTTCTCCAGAGTTTAAATAATAATAATAATAACTTTGTTGAGTGCAACGATTAAATAAATTAAAAATTAAAAGATAATAAAATTTCATACAAACAGCATTTATCATAAAAATTTAAAATCATCGTTTATCATTTAACAATTTATTAATTCCTTATTCATTAATGAAAAAATTGGGACTAACCTGTCGCGATTGTACCTTTTATTATCATCTATTCGATCATTTCGACACATAGTTGACTTGTACAAGCTAGAATCACTGTGTTAATGTGTTGTTAGCAACATGTACAGTAAATTACTATTACTGCAATATCATTGTTTACAAACTTAATGAAATAATTATCAAGCCAAGAATAACCGATTTTATATTTATGAGTTATACATTTATAATTGGAAAGTAAAAAATTGTAAGATTATCAAGATTTATATTAAATACTTCAATATAAAATATAATCTTAAAAATATAAAATTTAAAAAATATAAATTAATAATAAAAGTATTGAAAAGGGCTACGAGCCATAATAAAACAATATTTAAATAAAAGATATAATATAATTAATAAGAACTACATATTGAAATAAGATGAAATAAGAACTTTTATTTAAATATTATTTTCTTATGGTTCGTAACTCTTCTCAACACTTTTATTATTAATTTAAAAAATATATAACTACATATAAAAATTTTCAGATATTGGCGATAAATAAATTCAAATTCAATAACTAACAAAACAAGGTATATATAATCCATGTAGCAAGGTGACGTTATTTTAACGTCAAAATGACGACAAATAATGTCAGCTTGCTACTTGGATAAATCTATGACAAATAACTTTTATATCCATAATACACATATTCATATATAGTTGGAAATAAAAAATTAATAAATTGAAAATAAATACTTAAAATTACACAATTTATACATAATCTCAAAAGTCAAATGTAAAAAATTTCCAGATACATGCAATGAACACATTCATGTTCAATAAGCAATAAAAGAAATGAAAACATTCTTTGTCAACAAAAATATTTATAAATAGCTCAAACAACTTTATATCCATAATATATTGGTTTAATACATACTCTATCCAGAAAGTAAAATTATGTTTATAACCGTAAAAATAATTTCAAAGGTCTATAATATTTTTCGCTCATAATACAAAATTTTATATAATTACAAAGTTAATATTAATAAAAAGTATATATTCATAGATTTTTCGGAATGTTGTAGAATATTTTTTTTGTCACTAATTTATTATCGAATATTACCACAATATACATCAATATATAATTTCAATCAATAAATCATTATTATTTCTCTAATAAATTTATGAAACATAATTTTTACTCACATTGTTTTACTTTCTGGATTTACTGAATAAATTCTTATCTATCTACATTTTTCTTTCTCCTTTCTCTCCTCTCAATTTCACTACTCTTTTTTATATATGTATAATAATGATAGATATATATTCTCTTACCTGTGTTATACAAAATTTACCTGATCTCCTACAAATTTTTCATTAAATGACTTCTTTTCGCCAATTATGAATACCTTGCTGCAAATTTAATAATAGATAATAAATGTCAAAATTATAAAAATACAATACTACAAATATATATTAGACTGAAAAAAATTTTTTTTAATCGGCCTCTCAGCTCAAAAGCTTCTATTTCATGCCAAAAGAATTATGTAGTTTATTTCAATCAATTAAATCATTTTTTTTTATTATGTACTCACTTCCAGTTGGAATTTTCCCGGGACCTTCTACAAAGCCTTTAAAAGTTGCATTTAACTAGATTATAAAACGTTTTTAAGGATAGAAAAAATTTTTTTACAAGTTCTAAAGTATATCGCGCTTTGTGGTTTTCGTATCCTCAAATCAAATCTCTCAATTTGACGATAAAAAATTCCTTATTAGAAAATAAAATGAATAATAAAAAAAAATATACTACATAATATGTAGTTTTATTTCAATTAATTAAATCATATTTTTTTTTGTATTATGTACTCATTTCATTTTCTAATGGAGTTTTTTTATCGTCAAATTGAGAGATTTGATTTGAGGATGTCAAAACCACAAAGCGCGATATACTTTAGAACTTGTAAAAAAATTTTTTCTATCCTTAAAAACATTTTATAATCCAGTTAAATGCAACTTTTAAAGGCCCTGTAGGAGGTCCCGAAAAAATTCCAATTGGATTGTTCTAGATGAACAGACTTACAATTTGAGAAGAGTAACGACTCATTTGTACGCTTGGAACTTTGCTAAAATCAACTTTGAACTCGAAATTTGATCATTTTTTCATATTAATCGGGCTGTATTTCTTAAGATGTATATCGTAGGGTTAGATGAATTATTGCAGACGAAAAATTGTTCAGACGAAAAAAAAAAACGATACCACATTTAAAATCCGGATTAAGTCATTTTTGCATTAAATCAAACATTTATTAAGGAAAATCGAAACTTTAATTTAAAAATCGTTCACTGACGACTTCTAAGTCTTAATATTTTTTAATAAAAATTTAGGAATGTTCTTTTGGCATGAAATGGAAGCTCTTGAGCTGAGAGGCCGAATAAAAAAATTTTTTTTTCTTGTCAGTCTAATATATATAATTATTGAATATATAGGGGAGACCGGGACTAAGCTGACATTTGAATTTTGAGTGGCAAAAATATATCTTATGAGTTCCCAATTTATATTGTAGATAGCATCTCGATAGTGTCTTCTTTACCAACGAAGTTTGATTAGTTTAGATGCGCGCACCGCGTTGTTATGTTTAGGTAGTCAAACGTGTTTTCGATAGTCAAAAGTAATTTTTGAGATTTCATTTTCCGAATCACATCATTTTTTGTGTATATGGATGAAATGAAGTTGCAAACACCAAAAATTTTTATTGCCATCTCGTAGTCTTATAATCATTCTATAAAACGCTAATAATCATTTGACTAAAATTGTTTACTTTGTTACTGAAAATTGCAATTGAAAAAAAAAGTGCCCACGGTCTCCCCCTATATAGCAAAAGATTTGTTCGCGTCGCAAGATCCAACATGCTCCAACATGCTCCTACCATAGCTCCTGCTCACTCTATCAAGCACGTTGGAGTGAGTAAGAGCTGTGGTAGGAGCATATTGGAACGTGTTGGAGTATGTGACGCGACAAACCTAAAATGTCTGCAGTCTTCTAGCAGAATGCCGGCAGATTCGAGCAGAGAATGACAGCAGTCTGCCATCAACCGCGTTCGCATTAGGTTTGTGTTTTGTTAACATCATGTGCCTTCCAACAAGCGACACAAATGACACGTTGTGACACAATAGATCATTACATCCTTGTTTGCCAATGTTAAACAAAGATGACACGATCACTGTGTCGCACTGTGTCGCACTGTGTCGCACTGTGTCGCTTGTCGGAAGGCACACATCGCCTATCGACATAATGTGAAGGCAAATTGTTGGCAGAAACTGAGCAGATCCTGCAGACATTACCTATCTGGGCTGTGTTCCAAAATTCACTGCCAGCGCTGAAAATCTACTATTTACATCACGTATACATTTCCAGTACTACCAGTGAATTTTGGAACACAGCCCTAATTGGCTGCGTTCAGTAGAAAAAGCAGCTTTGCAAACTGTTGTAAAATTCTTTAATATGATTGGTCTTGCCCTTAGTTCCTCATTGGATCTAAATGTATAAACCAATCATATTCAAGAATTTTACAACAGTTGCAAAGCTGCTTTCTCTGCTGAACGCAGCCATCCTGTTATGTTTTTTTTCTAGCAGTCTGTCAACAGTATTTAGGCCTGTCTTTTTTGGCTGAACTTTTGCACCAGTTCATCTTTCTTCCTGTTCTCTCCAGGAGGAAAGAAGAGGAAGAAAGATGAATTGGTGAAAAAATTCAGCCAAAAAGAACAGGCCTAATATGTACATCTAATTCTGTAGGTATTTTGTTGGCATAGTGTGTAGCAGACATTTAAAAAATATACTTTCTACAGCTATATGACTATATATATATATAAGTATATATATAATATTAGTGGATAAAAAAAAAAAAAAAAAAAAAAAAAAAAAAAAAAAAAAAAAACAAACCAGTATCGATCACATTTGCTTCTCTGTTACGGTACCGCAATATGGCTTACAATTGCTCTAATAACTACTTTTAATTTTTGAAGTCTGACTCACAACAGCTTGACTTAACAAGGTATATACGTATATGTTTGCAATTTAATAGGTACTAATTTATTTTAACATATACATACTCAATAAAGTATCTGGTTTTATTGCTGAACTAATTGCAACGTCGTTGTACATATAACACAGTTCAATTTCATTTCTTCTAATTACTTTGAAGTATTATGTACATGTCTAAGTATCTCTTTCTTTTTTAGGGTACAGATAAACCTTTCAATGAAGAAAATGAAAGTATTACTAGTACAATCAAATTAAGCGATTTTAACCACTACATGGACCACACAAATTTAAAACAGATAAAACACAGGAACTTCCGATATGTATCTACAATTTTTTTTAATTTTAACTTATATTATTCCGTAATTTTGTGATACGAGAACCGACAATTTATGTTATATTGTAAAAATTTTTTGAATTTGTCTTAACATTGAAAATGATCCAATCGGGGTTGAAACGTTTGTTATTGTATAGATATTAAATGTTCTTTTATTTTTAATTGGCTCGTGGCCCTTCCTTTTATTTATTGATTTATTATAATCTCTCGTTTTTGAGAAAAGTCTATGGTAAGATTTGTGTGCAAATAATCAAAGAAGCGTCTGCGAGCCTTATCTGTCACTAATTGTAAGTTACGTGAAAAGTTACATTTTCAACATTTTTTTTCTCTTATTTCGTTGATAACTTACCGTAGAATTTTGCACACATCAATTTCGGTACTTCAACTTCATTATATAAAAAAAAAATTAGAGATTTCTATGGTAACTCGATTTACTAAAGAATCTTAATAAATAAAAACATAATATAAAAATAATAATGAATAGAAGAATAAATAAATGAATAGAAAAACATATATATTATATCTTAGAATGTTCTTTAGCGTATTAATTTTTGAGTTAAAATAAAACGTTTCTTCATCAAGTCAGTTTTTGTAAAAAACGGACTTGATGACTTTTGTAAATTACGGAGTCCTATTCCCGAAAAGTCAATATTCCCGATTTAGATTTTAAGTCATTCAGTCACTTTTAATTAAATCTTCACAAATTATAAGAAATATCAAAAAATAAAAGTCACAAAGTTATTAAAGAAACATATCTACAATCTACATGAATAAAGAAAAATACAAGAAATGTAAAGAAATATAGTATATGAGTAATACCGTATTGTTGAGATGCAGGTTAGTATAATCTATTAGAATAAAATATCTTGTGATTAATATTAATTTTCTGATAATTTTATATTAATAAGATTTTTATATATAAAGTTATTTATTTTTCATATAAAAATGTAATTTAATTATTTTAAAAAATTGTATATAATTTTGTTTAAAGGAAATATTGATATCAATAATATTAAAAAAAATTCTATAAAAATATTTAAAAAATTATGCTATAAAATAGGTTAATATCATATCTGCCTTCGAAAATAATAGATATTTAATAGAAAAATTCTATATCTAATAAATTCTATTAAAAAATGATTCTATATATCCCGGGAAAAAATATTTTATATATAATTATACATAATTTTATATATTTGTATACAAATGGACATATTTTATATACAATTATATATAATT